GTGTCTTCCAATTTTGTATATAGGTGTGTGACCCATCTTCCAACAGAATCATAGAAATTCTGTAGTATTTTTTTAAAAACTTTTCCTGAGGGCATACAATCTCTAGAAACATGACATTTTTTTTTTTTTTTGACAATAATAGAGTTGAAATACACTACGATAATACAACAGGTAACAAGTGGACAGCTGTTTTTCACTGTTTTTAATTTACTTTGTCACTTAGACCTCCTGAGATCTTGAGAGGTAAACCGGTAAGCCTTGATTTTTCTAAAAAATAAATTTGCATCTGAATATGTTTTAAAATTCCACGCTGTGCTGAGAGCACACAAGCCACTGTGAATAATCTTTATCCAGTGTCAGGTTTCCCTTTAATTATTTGGAAAAAGAGTTGAAGCTTCTTTTCCTTTTCTTCCCCCCTTCTTCTGTAATCTGCCTTAGCTTGTTTTAGTTCGGCTGGGGAACTGCATCTCTGCCAAGAGGATGGGAGCAGAGAGGGTCAGAAGGTGAAGTAATTTGACCACAGCTTCATATTTAATAATCCCCTCAGAACGCTGTGCGTCTAGAGATCATTATATCCTCTTGGCACAAAGAAAGAGGCCCAGGGACGCTGAGTCGCTTGGCCGGTCTGTCTCACTGCAGAGCCTCTCTTTTCCCCACAAAGTAGAGATTGGTTCACAAGGGAAAGTCGGGTTTGGGAGCCACAGGCAGCGCAGAGCATTGGTGAAGAGCATGGCCTATGGCATCCGAAAGACTTTTTTGGAAGAAATTACCTAACTTCTTTGTGAGTTGGTTTCCCTCTATAAAACAGAGGTAGTGAGCACTTTTTTAGTGTTGTTGTGGGCCTAATGCTTACATGGTGCTTAATACAAAATACGCATTCAGTAGATGAAAGCTTACAGAGAGGAGGATGGCGTAGTAGAGCCACTCCAGGGGCAAGGCTGACTTTGTCCCTACCTTTGAGCCCCTGTTGTGGGCAGGCCATCGAGTCCCAGGCTGACAGCAGCTGGGTGGGACTCTAGCCACAGTTATCATTCTCCTGAAATATCTGGTTCCAAAATAATGATTCCTTGTTTTTGGAAAGAGATGTTGGAATCAGAGTCCCCTGTATATTAGGGACAGGATATGTTGACTTCCTGAGGAATGCGGCTGATTTCTTAGATGGATGTTTCTTTAAAGCACATGGCATATTGTTTCAGTCAAAGAACACTTGGCTAGTTTGCAAAGAGTTGGTTGAAGGATGCAGGGGCACCTTATGGAATGTAAGGGCGGGAAGGATAGCTGGGTCTCCTGGAAGCCAGAAAACCATCTGAAACTGAGGGTGCTGCCCTCAGCTTTTAGGGCCTTTCTAGTTTCTGGTTTTCTTTTTGTTCTTTCTCTTTTTATGGCATTCTACAACATGGTACAACATTTGACAGTTTGTCACTTTAGGTATTTGAATTGCTGCTGGGCACCCACCCGATCTGGCGACATTATGGCTTATGCTGGTAGAGTCATCTGCACTGAATGTGGCCAAGTAGGCCTGCCTTTTTAACAGAAGACGCAGCTTTGCAGAGAATGAGCCTATAGGGAAGAGCAGGCACAGGAAGCCTGTCAATTTCTTCTGTTTTCAGTTATATTATACAAGAAAAGGAAAGATCGAGAAATTAGTTGTGTTTTCTAAAGTCTGGTAGCCCAGTTTCCCAAATTGAAACGTGTAGCATTACTCGATGGTAGAGTGCCCTGGTAGCATGCTGAGTTTTAATGAGAAAATAATTCCCTTGAAAGTCAATCCTGCCAACCTCAATTTATAAGTTTGCTGTTGTCACTTCATAATAAGTATTGGATATTAATCTTCATGTTCTCTTGAATCTCTTCCAGAGATATGAAGACTATGGAATGACTCCCCCATCAGGCCCATTGCCAAGGTAAGGTTTTCGGAACGAAATGTATTATTGCTTTCTCACGTAGGCTGTTTTTTAAATTTTGTAAACTCATTTATTTTAGCTAGTATGAGCAGATGCAAAATTCTCGAGTTTTGTATATTCTCTTGATCTAACCAGAAGAGGAAGAAAAAAAGTTGGAATTTAAGTCCTGCTGCCAGTAACAACAGACTAGATAATTTAGACCAGCCCTCTTGCTGAGGACAACTGGAAAAGCTGGACAAGGTATTAACATTTTTTTTTAAAAACCCTTAGAGGTAGGTAACAGGGCAGTGAAGCAGTCTGGGGCCAAGATCGAGGAAACCCAGAGAGATGAGCCCTGTTTCAGGGCCACTGTTCTCCCAGAGACATCTGTGGATTTCATGAGAGGCCACTGAGAAGACTCATAGAGCTGGGGGTGCAAAGAGGACAGGCCCCAATAAACACCCAGAGGTTTTGAGTTTGGACCCTTAGGTGTTATACTCTAGGAATAAGGGTGAATCGTGTGTAGATCAGTCCTGCAGGAACTAAAGCTCAGCTTGGAAAGGTGCTCAGGCATTGGTACCCGGCAGAAACAAATGTAAATGCCTTTTAGAGGAAGATAATGTCACTCTGGGCCTTACATTGTTGCCATGGTACATCTCTCTCTCTCTCTCTCTCTCTCTCACACACACAGAGGCATATGAGAGGAAAGGAAAATATAATTTTTAAAAAAACAGTAGAAATGGAACCATAGGGGATCCAGTTATTGGAGTTATCAAACACAGATTTTAAAATAATTATACTTTATACGGTTAATATAAAGTTAGGTCCCATTGTCCAGGAAAGTGTAAAAGTACTAATTGATGTTAGACTGTAGTAGTCAACGATTGTGGTGTAGTTTTTAGGGTAACTCACTGAAAGAGTGCTAAAAGAATACCTAAACATAATACTATAATATAAGGAAGAATAAAATAATTTTAAAATAATCCAAAAGAAGGTAGAAAATGGGAGAAAAAAGAATATAGTATTGGCAGGACATACAGAAAGCAGCTATAAAATGGTAGAAATCTAAATTTAAATCTAGACGTAATTACGTTAGATGTTAATAACTAAATATTCCAATTAAAAGACAAAGGTTAGAGTGGATTTTAAAAACTGTATTTGGCTTATGAGACACATCAAAAATATAAAGATACAGAAAGGATATAGAAGATTTGAATAACATGATCAACTTGACCCAATTGACTTACATAGAACACTAGACTCAGTAACTGTGGAATACACTTTCTTTTAAAATACATTTAAAAAATTTACCACATGCTGGGCCATAACAAATCTTAACAAATTTCAAAGAAGTGAAGTCACTCAGAGTATATTTGTTAGTCCTAGTAAACTTAAGTTAGAAACCAATAACAAAAGATAACTAGAAAATCTCTACATGTTGGCAAATTACTCAGTACCCTTCTAAAATAACCCATGATACATTGAAGAAATCACAGTGGAAATTAAAACATAACCTAGTGAATAACAGGGAAAAATGCAACATATCAAAAGTTGTGGGATGCAGCTATAGCAGTGTTTAGGGGGGAATTTATTGCCTAAATGAATATATTTGGAAAGAAAAATGGCTGAAAATCAGTGATCTAAGAACCCTACTCAAGATTTGAAAAAAGAAGATTCGATTAAACTTGAAGTAGAAGGAAGGAAATAAAAAAAATAATGATATATAAATTAAGGAAATAGAAAATAAATACCACATTAGAGAGGATTAATAAAGCCAAAAATTAGTTCTTTGAAAACTAATATAAACTTCTGGCAAGTTTGACCAAATAGTATGTATAACAAATTATCAATAAGAAGAATGGAAAGGACACATTAATCCAGATTTCACAGACATTAAAAAGATTTAGCTGGGTGTGGTGTCTCATGCCTGCAATCCCAGCCACTCAGGAGGCTGAGGAGGGAGGATTGCTTTGAGGTCTGGAGTTTGAGACTAGCTTTGGCAACATAGTGAGACCTCTTTCTTAAAAAAAGTAAACATTAGCTGAGCGTGGTGGCAAGCACCTGTAGTCCCAGCTACTCAGGAGGCTGAGGCAGGAGGATAGCTTGAGCCCAGGAATTCGAGGCTGCAGTGAGCTGTGATCACTCCATTGCACTTTAGCCCGGTTACAGAACAAGATTCTGGGTCTAAAAAAAAGAAAATAAAAAGGATTTTATGAATACATTTTCATTCATAAATTTGAAATGGAAAAATTCCTAGAAAGAGAAAACTTGAATAGTCATATAACTATTTTAAAAATGGAAATCACTATTAAAATTCTACCCGCAAGGAAAACTCCAGGCCCAGCTGGCTTAAACACTGAATTCTGCCAAACACTGAAGGAGGAAAGGGTGCCAGTGCTATACAAACTCTCCCAAGAAATAGAAAAAAGGGAGAATGCTCCCTAACTCATTGTGTGAGGCCAGGTTCACCGTGATGCCAAGGACAAAGACAAGAGTACAAGGAAGAAAACATTAAGGGCCGGTTTCTCATGAACCTAGATATGAAAAATTAGAAAGTAAACATCAGTGAACATCTCTGGCAATATGTACAAAAGGATATCACATTATAACCAAGTTGGATTTATTCCAGCAATGCAAGGGTGATTTGGCATTTAAAAAATCAAGCTGTGTACACAAAGAGTGCAATGCACACCACCCGAAGGAAGGACATATTTGAAACTCGGACTTGGGGGGAAGGGGGGGCAAGGGCAACATACGTAACCTAAACATCTGTACCCCCATAATATGCTGAAATAAAAAAAAAATCAAGCTGTGTAATTTACCACTTCAAGGAGAATAAAGGAGGAAAATCTTCTCTTTTCAATAGGTATAGCATGTGATAAAATTCAACATCCATTCACGGTAAAAATCTTAGTAAACAAAGAATAGGAGTGAACTTCTCTATTCTGATAAAAGGCATCTTGGCAAATATTACTTAATGGTGAAAGGTTAAAAGCTTTCCCTCTGAGAGCAGGAGAGAGACAGAGGTGCCTGCTCACGTTACTTCTATTTAAGACTACCCTGGTGGTTCTAAGCAGTGTAACAAGGCAAGGAAAAGAAACAAACAAGCAAAAGTAAGGAATTCAAAGAAAGAAGTAATACTGTTATTATTCACAGATGGTTATAATTTTGTATTAGCAAATCCTAAAGTGTCAACACATTAGTTGTTAGAATTAAGGGAACTTAACAAGATCACTAAATAGCAGGACACCTAAACTGCAAGGTAACTGGATATAAGATCAATGTACAAAAATCTGTTTTATTTCTATATATATGCAGCAAACAAAAAAGAAATTTTCAAAGGTACCACCTAAAGTAGATAATACAAAACACATCAAAATAAACCTAACCAAAGATGTTTAAGCCCTCTAAAGAAAGATGTTCATGGATTGGACAACTCAATTTTTAAAATGTCAGTTCTCCCCAAGTGATCTGTAAATTTAATGCAATCCCATTCATAATCCCAGTAGTGTCTCTCAATATATGTAAACTGACAAGCTTATTCTAAAATTTACATGGACATGCAGAGGATCAAGAATAGCCAAGATGCTTTGAGAAAGAAGAATAAGATGTTAGGACTATTCTGAATGCTGTATATTACTGTTGAGTAATTAAGATGATTTGGTATTTCTGTGAGGCTAGACAAGTAGACCAGTACACCTCACCTGTGTGGACATTAGTTTATTACAAAGACAGCATTGTAGTAAAGCAGTGAATCGCAGAAATCAAACCCACTATCCCTTCGATGACCAGAGGACACACAGAAGTAGGAATATTATCAGTTTCCTACTTACTTTCACTGTTACTTTCTTTATACTTCCTCATTTTCAGAGGGGTTTCTTTGTTTTTTCCCAGCCTTCCTCCCCTACCCAGGCACTGCTGTATGGTCCAAAGTAAAAAAGGTAAAAGTGGCGAGGGGAGCTTAGGTGACGCAGTGCAGAAGTTAGCGGTATGGGGGCCCTGTGCCCTGGTGTGCTCAGGTTCGTCCCAGTCGTTAGCAGCTTTCACTCTCAAAGTGTTCTGAGGCCGGGCACGGTGGCTCATGTCTATAATCCTAGCACTCTGGGAGGCCAAGGTAGGAGGATCGCTTGAGCTCAGGAGTTCAAGACCAGTCCGAGCAAGAGCAAGACTCTGTCTCTATTAAAGATAGAAAAATTAGCTGGGCGTTGTGGCGTGTGCTTTTAGTCCCAGCTATTGAGGAGGCTGAGGCAGGAGGATGCTTGGGCCCGGGAGTTTGAGTTTGCAGTGAGCTATGATGATGCCACGGCACTCTACTTGGGGCTACAGAGTGAGACTCTGTCTCAAAAAAAAAAAAAAAAAGTGTTTTGGTATGGACAGTAAATCTTATGATCACCCAGGTTAAAGGAGTCTAGCGTATTCGAGCACACAGCGTAGGATAAAGGTGATGCAAACATAGCGCGGCGGGGAGGAGGAAGAATTAAGTGAAGGGCCAGAGCTAGTTGGTGAGTGGATGGTCCAGGGATGTGGCCAGGCGAGATGTGGGCTCCCGTTGCCAGATCCGGAAGGAGGAGCGTGCCTCACGTTAAGCTCTTAGATCTGTAAAGTCAGAGATGAGAGACGTCTCCCTTCTGACGCCAGTCTAAAACAACAGCAGTTATTTAAAGAGTGGGCTTCAATTTATGAGCTGTGCTTCAGAAACAACACCACAGAACAAGTGCCAGTCTCCATTCTCACTACACTGGCTCAATCTGTTAGTTACTGTTTCACTGCCATTTGCATAGCACTGTAGTAGACTGTAACTTTTTTTTATTCTTGAATTTCTTGAGAATGGTTCTCAGGGCGGGGTCTTTGAGACCCTTTCTATGGAGGTCTATGAAGTCAAAACTATTTTTGTAATATTATTGAGACATTATTTGCCTTTTTTCGTTATGTTGACGCTTGGACTGAGGTGCAAAAGCAGCGGTGGGTGAGACTGCCGGCCTTGGCGCGCATCAAGGCAGTGCCAGGTTGTGAGTAGCAATTGTATTCTTCACCACTGTGTCATCGCAGTTTGAAAACAATGCCAGTTTTATGTTAGCATGTCCTTGATGCAGTAGTAAAAATTATTAATTTTATTAAACCTGGACTCTTCAGTCTCGAATGGTCTGTGTGACAAAAGAGGAACTACATATAAAGCATTTCTGCTGAATGTAGGATTTTGAAGGAAAAGGCTCCATTGTTTGAGACTAAACTGAACTAACTGCTATTATACTTTTGACTTGAACAAACAACTGACAGACATCGTATTCAGACTCGAGGGTTTGGCAGACAGTGTCTCGGAAATGAACAAAGTGAGCCTGTCACTTCAAGAAAAACAACTGACAGTATTTGGTGCTGATGATAAAATTGAGCTTTCAAGTGAAAATTTGAACTTTGGAAACTTTTGTCTGCTGTAGTGAACTTCACAGCTTCCCAGTACCTAAAGACTTTTCTGTTAATAGATGAACTTAATGATGAGAGTAATGAATGGGATTTTTTGATACTGCAGAATGAGATATAACAATATCGAGGTCTGCGTAACTCAGTGAACTAGTATTTTCCAGATGACAGATGTCATAAAATCATGCGTGGGTTAAAGATCCATTCAAAGTGCAAGATAGAGCTGTGGGTTTTAATGTGACAGAGTATGAAAAGTTCATTGATATTGTCTCGGATTTCACTTCGCAACTAACCCCTAAAGAGCTACCACTTGTCCAGTTCAGCTGTGGTATCAAGAAGAATATCTGAAATATTCTTTGAATATTATCTGAAAAGGCTATTAAAGTACTCCTTCCTTCTCCAGCTATACATATTCTGTGAGGGCAGATTTTCTTCTTAAAATAACATATGGCAACTGACTGAATGCAAAGTATATGAGAATCCAGGTACCTTCTATTAAGGAAATTTGAACAAAATATAAAAGAGTGCTCTTCTCACTAATTTTTTTTTGGGGGGAGTTGGAGAATTTAGTTAATTTCATGAAAAATGTTATGTTAATATGCAATAGGTTTATATTGTTATTTTTAAATGAATTTTTAAAATAAGTATTTAAAAAATTTCTTAGTTTTAATTCCTAATGTGAATATTGGTAGATATTAATATAATCCACATAAATAAAAGCTCATGGGAGTCCTCCGTAATTTTATGAGTAGAACAGGGTCTGGAAACCAAAAAGTTTGAGAAGTGCTTTAGAACACTGGTTCGCTGGGCAGCAGGATATCGTGGAGTTTTAAGAGTTGCCAGTGTCTGGGGTCCCACCTCTGGAGATTCTGTTGGAGTTTGTCTGGGCGCGGCGTGGGTGTCCCGTGCTTACGTGTTCCCTGGGTGGTGCTGACGTGCAGCAGGGTGACGGCCACAGCGCTAGCCAGAGGCTAGAGATGAACAGGCCCCGGAACCTTAGCTGTGCCTCTGTTTGGTCTGGAAGGTACAGCATTTCTTCCATTGTTTTTTAATGGAAAAAATGTATCCAGTCGTCGGACAGAGAATGGTCAGCATCAGCCGTACTCCAGGCGCTGGAGATCGGGCGGTGAGCAAATAGAAGCAAATAGAAGTCCCTGCCCTTAGGGAGCAGGAGAAACGTCTCCTGGCCTTCCAGGAGAGGAGATGGTTAAGCAGGTAGAAAAATGAGTCTCATCCTGCTGTCGTGTTGAGGGCCTAATAAAATCTCTGAGCCGGGCACAATACCCTGATGCTCACGTGTGCTCTGCCTGCAGGCCGAGTCTTGGCCCTGGTTTACTGCAGTCTTCGGAGCTGGCACCGCCTGAGTCCCAGCAGCCGCAGGCAGCGGCCGAAGCTCCGTTTGCTGCCCGCGGGATCTACGCTGAGGAGATGCCGTCAGTGGCCCGGCCTCGGCCTGTCGGGGGCACCACAGGTACACGTGACTGTTGAGCTTGCATTTCTGAGCCGTAGGACATTTGCTTTTTGGCTAAATTGGGAAAGGCTGCGTGTTAGACTTTCCGGAGCATCCGTGTCCAGCATGCAGCGGCCTCTTCCCCTGGTCGGGGCTGTCGTCCCTCGGATCCTGGCAGAGGTGTAGGCAGGGGCGGTGGGAAGCCAGAGTGGCTGAGATCCCAAGGCTGGCATCTGCCAATCTGTTCCTGAGCCAGCCCCTTCATGAGGAATTCACAGCACGCTTCCTCCAGAAGAAACATTTCTAAATCTATACAGTAAACTGGAAGATCTGTCTGAGCACTTGGTGTGGCATTAAAACACGTTTGTTTTAAAGAAGGTGCTTTTCCAGCTTGTAACAAACAACTGTCAAAGTTGTTGGATGGTGACTGGAGGGAGATTTTTGTTTTCTTTGGTCACTTCTGGGAGGGCACAATCACTGTTTCCTCCTTCTACCTTTGTTAATATCTTCTACTTCCCTTTCCTTACTTCCTTGTCATTTTTTCGTGCCCCGTGCCTGAGTCTTGCCTCCTCTGCTGCTACACGCGTGGGCAGAGGCCACGGTGCAGCTCCTGCGGGAAGCCGGTGGCCACTGTGGCACTGTTCTAGCTCCTTTCTGCTCATTCAAGCCCCGATTTAAAAAATTGTCTTAGCATCACTCCTGGTAACCAGGGCAGCTTTCACCTGATAATGCAACAGTGAAAGATCACGTTTTCTGAATCTTCTAAGTGATCTTCTAATCACTTTTCTATTTTTATGTCTTTGCATACAGCTTTTTTTTTTTTTTTTTTTTTGCAAACATTTTTTTTTTTTTTTTTTTTTTTACTTTTAGTATTTAAAGGGTTTTCCTTTCATTACCCTTTGGAATTCAGATAAATTTTTTTTGGAGAGTTCTGTCACCCAGGCTAGAGTGTAATGGTGTCATCATAGTTCACTATAACGTCAGACTCCTGGGCTCAAACAATCCTCCCTTCTCAGCCTCTTGAGTAACTGGGGATACAGGCATGTACCACCACACCCAGCTAGTTTTTTCTGTTTTTGGTGGAGACAGGGTCTCACTCTTGCTGAGGCTGGTCTCGAATTCCTGACCTCATGCGATCCTCCTGCCTTGGCCTCCCAGAGTGCTAGGATTACAGGTGTGAGCCACCGTGCCTGGCCTTGTGTTAATTGTTGAGCCCAGAACAAATCCTCCTCAAGTTCAGTGGATGCTTGATGTTCATGAGCGATTTGTCCTGAAGTCTTTGTAAATCGCCAGATTTTCAAATATAACTCTAGTTTACAATTGATTTCCCTAATCAGTCCAACAGAAGTGTAAGTGGAGCAGCGAAGAGACCCCTTCCAGACACATAGTAGGGGGCACTGCTTACTTGTAGGTTGACAAGCAGTGCCTGGCATGGCTTAGCAGAGATTCTTATTTGGCAGGTGTCTGTGATTCAAACTTGTACCTCCAAATTACAAATTACTCCTTTATTTCATAAAACTTAAACTCACGAATAGTTGATACTATAAGAGCTAGTAATTTGTGAATGCTGTTCAGTGTTCCTAAAATATCTACATAGTTTAGGATCCAGAGCTCTTTCTGTTTCTTGTAAAGCTCTGCAGACGTTGAAAAATTCATAGTTTGTTATTATCTTACTGTATTTTATTACAAAAGCTCAAAGTCACTTGTTTATTTTCCCCATTCATTTCTTCACTCTCCTTTTTGAAAACTGAAACTTTAATGAGAGGAACCATCATATGTTAAATAATTGATTTTGCTATTTTCTAACTTTCTAGAGAATATATACCTTCATAATATCATCAAGAAAGTAGTTTAGTCCATATTGGATGAGAGCCTAAGGAAAAAAAAAAGTAGTTTAGGCTAATTCCAGATTTGCAATGATTGGTGTATATTTTTCCATTATGGTGTTCTAGGAGGTTCTTGCATTTTGCATTGCCTGTTAGCTAACAAAATAAATAATGTACCCTGATATCCTACAGGATTTCCCATGCTTTACAGGTGCTTTGCTTTGCAGTGAGTCTTGTTTCTCCTGTTAATTGTTGTGTATTTGAACCTTGCTGCATAGCATGTATCCTAAACAAAATTCAGATGTACTAATTTTTAATTAAAAAATCTAGAAGAATATGGAAGTTGTATGTATCAAATGTTTGAAAGTTATTTTTTAATAATTTCTAATAGATGAAATTATGTAAACATTTGTAATGGAAAATGCTAAGATCTATTAGAAGAGTTACCTTTTTGACTATAGAAAATTATCAAACATGTGTGTCTAAAAATGACCAAAACCAAAATAGTACCTAGGGAAAATTTACCGCAGATTATGACCAGGAGGTATTTGTATTATAGAGGGTAGCTCATATAAATCCATAAAGGGGCAAACCTGAAAAGATCAGTGGGCAAAGGATGGGAAGAAAGAATTCAACAAGAGAAATATATGTGTGTGTGTAGCGTATAAAAGTAAACATAGGGAAAAGACCCGATTTTGAAAACGATTTAAAAATGCAGATTAAAACCACAGTGAGGTACCATTTCAGTCATGAAATTATTTTTATGATGATGTGGTATGGTAAAATTAGTATATTCTTCATCTGTACAATGGGGATATATTACTATTTACCTCCTGAGGTGGTTTGGCTGATTAAAGAAGATGACAGGTATAAAGTGCTTGAAATAGTGCCTGGCATGTCATAAACTTTCAATAGATACTAGCTGCCATTATTATTATCACTCTTATATTATTCCCAGTGATGGTGTAAATCATTAAACTTTGGAAAGCAGTTTGGCGGTAGGACTCATGGAGCCTTAGATTTGGTCATTTCACTTCTGGGAACCCAGACTCACGCTCTCCCTAAAATCCAAAATAATGGGGAAAACTACATATGCCAAGATGTTTATCACAGCATTATTTGTGATCACAAAAAATTGTTAGCTCCCGAAAATACCCAGTGATAAGTGTATCCATGAGTAAATTGTGCAGCTATTTAAAATGGAGAGAGCCAGGTGCAGAAGCTCATCCTGGCACTAGGATGATCAGCTGAGGCTAGGAGTTTAAGACCAGCCTGGGCAACACAGCAAGACCCCATTTCTACAAAAAAAATTTTTTAAATTAGCTGGGGTTGATGGTGCCTGCCTGTAGTCTTAGCTGCTTGGGAGGCTGAGGCAGGAGGATCACTCGAGCCCAGGACTCCAGCCTGGACATGTAGACCCTGTCTCTCAAAATGAACGAACGAATGAATGTAAGTCATAAAAAACAGAAAGGGAGAATTTAAGATTTACCGTTTGCCTCCTATGTGTTTAACACTTGATCTATTTTATCTGTTTTAATTCTTGAAATAACCCTTTGCGATGGATTTGTATCCCCACTGGAAAAGTGCAGGGTCTGTTGGGACTCGGCGTGATCAGTAGCCAGTGGCTCAGGGTCACATGGCGTGGGCAGCTGAGCTGGAATGCAGCTTGCTGGGCTCCACGTTGAATCATGGGAGAAGCCTGTGCTTTATTGTTAAGTGAACAAAGCAGGGTGTAAAATCATGTCCGAATTATGATTCCAACTACTCTTGTGGTTTAACACAAAAGGTATGCTTTTCTCCCTGTGTGGTTGTTTGAAGCTTTGGAAATGATGGGGAACATTGTGTAGCATTTGTAGCTCTTTGCAGATTTGCTCAAAAGGTATCTGTGGCAAGCAGTACTGACAGCCGTGATGATTTTAATTCGACCAGGGGTTTGCAGTAACTGACAAGTGCTTCAGTAGATTGCATTGCTCTGGCCGGAGCCTGGATAGTTCTCCTGACCTTTAGTTATCGTTACATGTCCAAATAAAATTGTCGAGTTCTTTTTTATTTTTAATGTAGTTGATTAATTAGGTTGTTAATTAGACAACTGGAGTAGGAGTACACTTAAGGATGGAAGAGGCCGCCTCCTGTGCCTCTGTGAATGCTCACGGCCTTTGTAGTACCATTCTGAGCATCACGGGTGAACTTGACCTTAGGAACGTTTGGAAGTAAGTATTCTATTTCACAGTGCTTAAAGATCACTGTTTCTTCCCTTAATTTGCAGTATAGGGATATTTTCCATATGCCACAAGTTGATGAGGGAGAAAAATATTGTTTAATGCCTGGCTTTCATAGGGACACGGGGCTGCAGATGTCTAAGTGTAGGAGAATCAGCTTCGGAGAGTCCTCTGGCTTTGCCGTCAGGATGCCTCACCGATGAGGCTGGGCTAGTGGTTTTAATTGTGCTAAGTACTTTAATATTCTGAATTCAAATGAATATATACCCTGCCTTTTAAGAAAAAAAGCGTATCATATCCAGCTCCTTGTGAATCTCAAAGCCACAAGCAGGAAGGAGCTGGGCTTCAGGCTCTAAAACCTTCCAGGAGAACCTGAATAAATGAGCTCATCCTTTTTCGTAACCTTTACAGAAGCGAAGGGAAGCGCCCTCTGTTGTACTTTTTCTCCCCAGTCCTGATGGCTAGTCAGGAAAACAAAAGCATGACTATTAGCCTCTGTATTAAAAGGAAATAAAAGCCCAGGAACCAAGATCTCACCCATCTATTTTTGGTAAGTGTCATTTGTGGACATAGAATTGGTGCCCTGCTTGAGCAGTGTCTGCCACCCCTTGCCCTAACCGGAGTGCAGTGGTCAGAGCTGAGGGGGTCTTCCTTGGCAGCCTCGCCCTCCTGCAAATTCTGACCGGGCCTGTCCACCGTGTTCCCTCCAGGCTCCCAGATCCAGCACCTGACGCAGGTGGGAATTGCCAGCAGAATCGGAGCTCAGCCCGTGGAAATCCCACCCAGCAGAGGCGGCCAGTACGGGGGTGCGGGCTGGCCTCCGTACGGGGAGGAAGAAGGGGGGCGGAGAGAGGCCGTGAGTATCTTGCGTTTGGGTCATCGTTAAACATTCAGACGTAGTCACCTAATTTAGCTGCTTCTGCTTTGGGGATCCCTTTTTGAAACCTACATTAAAAAAGGTTTTAATCTCCTTCACTTCCTCCCCCTTGGTGGTGGTTCTGCTCACAGTTTTCAGCATCTGCTTTTTGGAAAATATGTAGTTTTTCTTGAAGCAGATTTCAGACTTCAGTGAATTTGAACCTGTAGGTGACTAAAATCTGGACTTCGTCGTCAGCGTGATCGCTGTATAAATATTCATGATCTGACATCCCATTTGTACCTCGCTGTGAGCTTATTAGCCTCATTTGCATTATGACCACCACGAGCAGGTGATTTTGTAACAAGCACACGGTTTGGAGCATTTTAAGGCACATGTTGTCTTTTTGAGGCTTCTAATCACTTAGTATAGACACAGGTTATTTCTACAAGTGTTTTCATTCATTTTTCTCAAAAATTTTATATCCTTGTGGGATAAATTAATGAAACTTGAAAATACAAACCAAAATGCTACCTTTTGTTTTATCCTTATGCTACAACTTTCATTACATTTCTGTGCCTTTGCAGCAGACACAGTAAATTCCTTTCGTGGCTGGATGCTCTTACTCAGTGAGAGGAAATTAACTTCTGAGTATGATTTTTTCCTAAAAGAAACATCATTATAGGCTCAGGTATCTGCTTTAAGTTTGCGGCCATTTTTCATTTTTTGGCCTTCATTGTGTCCCACTCAGCTTCATGAGGTGTTTGGGTTTCCCTTCAAACCCCACAATGCTCACTTTGAAGTGCCTGTCAATCACTGTTAGAAGTGAAACGCAGAAATAATCTAGGGCTGAAATGCCATGTTTATCTCGCTAAAAACTTGCCCTTAGCATACTTTTTTTAGTACACAGATTTACTACTCTTACATGTAAATGTAAAGAGAGATTTTTTTCCCCACTGGAAAAAACGTGAAAAAAAATCACTGAAAAGTATAACAATTCTTGTCAACCTAATGCCAAATCTGTATGCTGCAAGTGTCAGCAAAATGATTGTATGCTTTAGTGCAGATGACTTGCTGAAGACAAGCCTCTACAGAGCCCTCTATAAACACACACAGACAGAAGACAGACGGCAGTTATATAAAGTGGAAAATGGTTTTGTGATCTTGTTTGGGGTCTGTGGTCACAGTATGTGCTCACATGCACACCCTCCCTGGGCTCCATCCCAGGGCAAAGGTGGCTGTTCCCCTTGTGAGTGCCTTTTCCAGGGTCTGCCTACCTCCTTCAGGTCTCAGGTGTCCCCGTCTGACCTTTCACCTTCAAGGCGTGCTCCGGCCTCCCTCCCGCGTGCAGCAGCACAGGGGCGTGGGCAATAGGGGCCCTGTTGGAGCGCTGAGTCGTTGGGTGGGAGATGGGTGGAGGTAGCCCTGGGAGCATTCCCAGTGCCAGTGTGAATTTGATGTTCCTGCTTGTTTTTACTTGGGAAGTACAGTAACGTTTGCCATGTTTTTCAGACACACATGCTCGGACATCAAGAATACTCTTCTTCACCGCTATTTCAGGTGCCAAGGACTTCAGGCAGGGAGCCCTCAGCTCCTCCCGGGAACCTCCCCCATCGAGGGCTGCCGGGCCCCAGCCTGGGCTACCCCACCAGCTCCACAGAAGACCTCCAGCCCGGTCACTCCTCAGCCTCTCTCATCAAAGCGATCCGCGAGGAGCTCCTCCGGCTCTCCCAGAAACAGAGCTCCGCGCAGAACTTCCACAGCTGATCGGGCTCGCCTGCAGATTTGCCAAGTATCCGCTTCCCGTGGAAGCAAAGACCAAAAGGAAATCAACTGAGTGGGTGTTTTTAAGAAGAATGAGCATCTCCTGGGCAAGCTGCCCAAGTAAGGGAGCAAGTTGCTATTTTAGAAGATGCCATAAGTCACGTGACAGCTCACGATCCTTTTACTGTGTTGGCAATTTTGTGACCACTTGGGTTCAGGTGAAAGTTATGTACTTTGGCCAAAAGCCGGCAGCACTTCACAAAACAAAACACAAACCCAAGCTAACAAAATTACTAAATTAGTCTCCTTTTTAAAGGCAAAACATTAAAACGTGTAGATGGTATAAGGATTAAAGGAATCACGTGTTTCCGTGGGATTCAGTCTGATGTGTACGATGAAGCTGCTGCTTTGTTTTCTGAGAAAAGAGATTTGAAGACGTTTTATTAACAGCTTGATTTCCCTCTTTTACTCCATAGGAACTTATTTTAATAGTAACATTAACAGCAAGAATATGAAGACTGTTTGGGAATTTTAAAAAGCTACTAGTGAGAAACCAAATGGCAGGTTGTAGAGCCTGATGACTCCAAACGAAGCCATCACTGCATTCCTCCTCCTCCTCCTCCTCCTCCTTCTTCTGGTGCTACAGCTCCAAGGGCCCCTCCACCTTCACGTCTGAGATGCCAGTTTGGCTTGTCCAGTGGAAGAATATATTGAAGGTTTCATTTTCTTCTAGGGGAAAAAAAAGTCATCCCAAACAGGGGAAAAAGCTCAGTATCTATTTGGTTATTCAAGATACATAACATATCCAAGTTCAGATTTACGTTTTTTAATCGTGTGTGCTGTTTGCTAATTGGGCACCTGCGACTCCTGGGAGCATCCCCTTCAGCACCTGTGTTAAGGCCAGTCCTGTAGAGTGAGGCTTTGAAGAGGTCCTAACTGAGCCCTGCACTTTGCTGGTGATTTGCTCGCAAATTGTTTGAATGAGAAATCTTACATAAGCACATATTATTTATAAAAGTTCCTAGGACCACCAAATTGTCATGGCTCCATCCCTAGTAATCACATTCCCTGTGTTCAAGACCTGGAAATGCAGTTCATTTCAGTTCGGCCTCTGTAATGGATCAAGAAATGTAAAGAAGAGCTTTGAGACCACAGGAGAAAGGAGAGAGTTGCTGCCCATGTCTGATTTTATTGTGCTATTACTCTGTTGAGTGACTGTTAAAACTATCTTAGCCACTTTGGGTTTGAGAGAAGGGATCACCTCTGTTAAGACCTACTCCTGAAGTAAGCATTTCCCCACTTCCCAAATTATAGCAAGAAAGATAGCCACAAGGGTCATTCTGTTTTCTGGTGCCTGAGTGAAACTTGGAAGAAAAGCAGGCTTAGATAAGAGATTTTCACTATGAACCTCTTTTTATTAGATCAACTAATAACAGTCACGCATTGCTTAACGACCGGGATACGTTCTGAGAAATGTGTCCTTAGGCGATTTCGTCGTGCGAGGTGCAAAGTGTACTTGCACAAACCTAAATGGTACGGCCTGCTAACACCTAGTTTATTTGGTATAGCCTTTGCTCCCAGGCTACACACCGTACAACGTGTTACTGTACTGAATACTGTAGGCAAATGTAACACAGTGGTAAGTATTTGTGTGTCTAAACACAGAGAAGGTACAGTAAGAATACGGTATTATAATCTTATGGGACCACTGTCACATATGCGGTCCACTGTTGGCCAAAACATCGTGATGTGGTGCATGGCTATACTTTTAACTAGATAACAGATGAACAGGTAGAATTTGGGACTCTGACTAATCAAAACCTGTTTATCTGTGTCAAATTTTAAGAACCCTGAAATAGCTAAAGCATATTTTCAAACTGTAATCATTGGGTTTCAGAGTCACGTTTCAGTACTTCATTAATTAATTAAGCCTGCCGTTAAGACTTAGAGTCTTACCAGTGTGGGGAAAGTTGGTTCTGGGAAGTGAAAATGTAACCATTTTTCATCTTGACACCTCTGAAGGAGAAGGGGTACAGGAGAACAGGTCTCTCAAAGATGTTAAAGGTCTGGCAACTCCTGGTCAGGCAATCTCCAGAGGTTCCAAAGAGTGTGGGAGAGGAGGCCCCCTTCGGGGCTTGGTTTCTTAGCTCCTTAACACCAGATTCTCTCCAAAGTGGAAGATTCTCTTTGCATGTCACTCAGAAATACCAGGTTTCCTGAATAAGGTATTAAGAATTTCAGATATCCAAGCAGAATTTTTTTTTTTTTTTGAGACGGGTCTCATTCTGTTGCCCCAACTAGAGTGCAGTGGTGTCATCATAGCTCACTGCAACCTCAAACTCCTGGGTTCTAGCGATCCTCCTGCCTCCCAGGTAGCTGGGACTACAGGTGTGAGCCACCACGCCTGGCTAATTTTAAAAATTTTTGTAGGCATAGGGGTCTCACTGGGTTGCCCAGGCTGGTCTTGAATTCCTGGCCTCATGCAGTCCTCCCACCTCTGCCTCTAAAAGTCCCAGGATTACAGATGTGAGCCACCATGCCCAGCTCCAAGCAGAGTTTCATTATGGATACCCAATAATGAATTCAAATTGTGTGACAGCAAATGGAATAAATGGTCCTTTCTCGCCCCATTCTGCTCAGTGTCATAAGTGCTTGCACATAGAGTGTTTTAAAAAAGGTTACCTCCTTTGTCCACTGCAGAAAGGGATCTCTGTTTCAAAGGGGGTTGTCTGCAACAGCAACTCGGATGCCTTTCAAACTACCGCAAAGGGATTCTACCTGTATTTTTATTGTTAGAACCGATACACCTTTAAACAGATGTCAAGACCAAAGATGATGTATAATGAACAACCGGTGGTTGTGGTGTGAGCAGGCCACACGGGGTTACCAGCACTCTGTATTGGATGTAAAACACACTCAGTTTACACTCGTTTCCTCTAAACATCTGCCACGACAGTTCTGCCAATCACCAAACTCAGAACAAACTAGCTGTCGTGGGTAGCACCATACCCAGGGGGTCTTCGGGCACTCAGTGAATGTGATCTGCTTAAAAGAAAGGTCCTCATGTTGATCGCTTGTGGCTTTGGAGCTCCATTTACTGAAGCACTCTAAAATGAAAAGTTAAAGTTTATGTGTCATTTTTTCGTATTTTAAAAAGTCTAGTGGTAACACAGACTGTAAATTTGAGTCAAAATGTTTGGAGAAATGATTTTTTGCAGAGTCTGCTTTGTCACTAACTCACTGTGTCAGGTTCCTTCGCCGAACCTCATCAGCCAAATGAGAACAGACCTCCCCTGCCACCTCCTGGGATCTTCAGCTGTGAGAATCAGATCCAGTCAGGTTTGCCGTCAAGGGATGGCAAACGTCCCTTGAGGATGTAGCATAAAGCACTGTGAAAATGTGAACTGCTCGCTGTGTGAATGCCCCGGGATGGGCGATGTGATATGCTATGATCTTCCAGTGAGTGGGTTCACACACGGTAACCAGAGCACAACCGAAAGCCCAGTGTTGCTTACCTTCCTTGCTCCTGTTTTGCTTTAAATTCACTTCCTTCTCCACTATCAACTGGCCTTTCTGCTCCTGATGTTTTGCTGTTTCTGGCACCAAATAAGTCAGCAGACGTGAGCCCTGCCTTCTGAGATCTCAAAATCTAAGGTAGTACTGATTCCAGTACGGTGTCTGGAATGTACAGATGAATAACATGGTTTAAGCATCAATAGAATGTATTCAGAGTACACAAGTGCTTTAGGTACTGAGAAGTCGCGGCAGTCGCATGTTTGGAAGTGGTGGGATCTTGGGGAGAGGTCAACTTCAGAAGCTACTTTGATGAAGACAGGGGAGCTACCGTCGCAAATGGTGAGATGGGAAGAGCTGGACCTAGGGAAGGTTGTAGAAATTGGGTGAAGTTGTCATTGAAAATGAACTTAATCCTGATCTGCTGCAGTATGGGGACAAAATCCCTAACTGCACTGTTTGGGGGGTTTTTGGAGAGGAGGAAGAGGTGCTGGGAGGATATGTTTACAGTAACACAGCGAGGAAATGAACCGGTCTGTGAAGGTCTACAGAGGAGGGGAGGGAAGCGGATGGAAGCCATGGCAGTGACACCGAGGGTTATTGCTTAGGGCAGATCTCAACGGTCAGGGTCAGCTGCTTGGCCATGCAAATCCTTTGTGGAGCACAGCAGGTTATAAACAAACATTTGGCTTCTTTACTGCTACCTACATGTTTTTCTCCATATTTTATTTGATTTTAGTGTGTTTTGATTTTGGTGGCACATGGCTTTTAAGCCATGGGTGTTTGCCAACCAGCTGTTTCTGGGCATGAGGCCTGTTCTGCAAAGCAGAGGTCGAGGTGTGCCCAAAAGCTTGGGGCTGACACAGGTAGTTCAGCGCTTTATGAGCCTCTCGTTTCGCACGGACAGGGTCAGTTTTACTGCCTTGCACAACCTCTTCGTGAGCGCTCCAGTGACCGAGCCAGTCACTCGCACCCTGATCTGCATCGGCAGCAATTCACAAGTTAATAGTTAAGCCTCTCTTACTCCTTCTAGGTCCTTAGACATGAATGAATTTGTGGGTTGGAAGGGAAGCTGGTTAAGGTTCTGGGCAGGGGGACTCCAGTCTTAACTCCCGTGTTAACTTTAGTAGGGTTTTTGCCATGGTTGGTCATTTCTACCTCCAGAGCAAGGCTCCAAAGCCAGTTTCCAGAGCCTGCTTATCCACATTTGTTCTGGGCAGGAGCGCGAGGAAGTCCACTTCTGTACCGGCAGATAGACCATGTGAACACAAAACACATTCTGTGGCACGGTCAGTGGAACTTCATTTTTACATTTAATCCAACATATTAGTAGACATTCTTGTAACAGGTGAGAGGGGTTTCTATGAGCAACTACTGTAGCATAACTCATAAAGTATAATTTGTGTTTGTTACCTAATGAACAAAGAGTGTGCACATTTCAGGTTTGTTTTGATATTCTTGGGGGTGATTGTCAGTGTTTAAACTAGGACTCTTTTTTCCACTGTTAAGACTTGAAAACTGAAACGTCATGGTACAATACTGAGTCCGTGCTTATGTGTGTAATCGGTACACTTGACCGTTTATCGTATACACAGCAGCATGGAAATTTAGGGAAAGAATATTAAATGCCTTTGGAAACGTGAAACAAAGTTAGGAACCAGTGAGGAAGTGAGAGAAGCAATGAATGTCTTAATCTGATGCACTCTAGTCCAGATTAGTTTCCCACAGGGTAGATAATTATCCAGGCTCCTTACTTTTCCTTCTTCCTCCAGGTTTTTCAGGGGCTACTTCACATTTAAAGAAAGAGTGACTAGGTAGAAGGGACAGATCAAAATTGGAATGATTTGAGTCGTGCGGTACCTGATTACACAGAACCTTTCTGGACTGTTTGGAGCGTGTGAATAAGTCTTTCCTCGTGCCTACCACATTTCAAGTGTTCACGACTTGACTGCCTAAGTGTGCAAGTTGGGAATAATACAGGGTCAAGTTCAAGCCAGACACCCTGTACTGTTCCTCCTGCAGATGGGGGGCGGGGGAGAAGAGGGAGGTACTAGAGGGATTGAGGCTCCACCCATTAGTTCGGTTGCTGTAAGCACCGAAGGACTCTTCTCTGGAAAGGGGAGTAGAAACGCCCTGGACCTGACCCTCCTCCAGAGCGTCACCTGGGAAGCGTGGAGACCGGTTAGTGTGAACAGGAAAGGTTGCTCAGCAGCGCCACTCTGGGGTGCCGACTCGTTCCCTCCTACTTTGTCAAGGTCCGCGTTCTTCTGACTCCCTGCACCCTCATTTTCCTAGATTAAGAGA